GAACTACAATTTTGGACACGGAACATACTTTAGCAAAAGTACATGAATCCATTTTATGAAACCTTTTACGAAGAAAATTTCAGTTACTATGTTATTCCTTTTCAAACTAAAAGTATCATAAAAGTGGAAAAATCCTCAGAGAATAAATATATAGACTGGCAATGATTAAACCTGTGAAATTAAATTACTATACTTATGTGAAGCGTTCGCGCAAAGAAAAGAACTTCGCTTTAGAAATGACATAAATCTGAATTTCATTAAATGCAGAACTTCAAATTATAGCAGTTCTACGAAAGGAAATTTCAGAACAGTTTTTTCAAATTAACATTTTTTAAAAGGAAAGATATCTTTCATAAATCTGTCTTAAAACTTAGTATAACTAGCTATCATTAGTAATGTTTGCTTACACTTTGCATATTGTTTTCTTAACTATATCTTTAATTAGTTTATTTTATGAGGACATTTTGTTTCCAACTAAACCGCAATGGAATGAAATTGTAACTGTTTAATTTCACGCTTCTGTAATTAATTTACATCTTTTTGTTGCCCTGCGTTGGCAACATGCTTTGGAATCACCATCCATGGATTTCGACTGCTAGAACGTAGCTAACCTATAACTGTTTTAATATTTATTTTTAACTTAATCGTGTTATCGGATTATTATAAGACATTTATCTACAGATATTTCATTATTACGTGTTTACAATTTGATTTCTATAAACTGGGAGTAGCTGAATTTATTAGTTATTTCAAAACGGAATTTCTCTTCGACTTCGGCATCATACGATTAATAACCAGTAATCAGTAACATTAACATATTTAGTTAAGAGGTTCGTATAAGATTCAAATTTCGAATACCTTTGTTAAAAGATGTCAACTCATCAAAATAATCACAAATTGAAAGTATACATTATCACGATTACTTCTTAGAATGTAATTTTGAATCTAAGACCAAACGATATTTATTCGCATCATCTTTTCCCTATACATTTAATTATAAAATACTAGTACTAGTACTATAATACCTTTGATACCTTTGAAATACTTTGAAATATAATACCTTTGAATATAATACCTTTGAAATACTAGTACTATAATACCTTTGATTATAAAATACTAGCAAATAATAAGAAAGAGAAAAATTTAGATTCAGTGTTAAAGGTATTTAAAACAGCACTTTCAAATATTTGATATATACATGAAAGATCAGACTATGCCTTTGCCTTTTAATCAGCATTATACTAAAAAAACATGAACTAATGTGATATCAAATGAACCTTAATGAAACACGAACAATTAATTCATCGCTGCTTTAAAGTTTTATTTCATTCTCTTCCAATTAAGTTAATTAATTTATTCAATCTCAAAATGCATTACAATGCCTTCCTGTTTCTTAATTAAAACGAACTTCAAAGTTTTATTGCACCAGAAACAAAGAGACATTTATTTAGAATTCATATAAAAATACAGATGTCAATTTAAATTAATTGCTTACATATAAAAAATATAACAGGGTAAATTTACGTTCTTTTAACACTCATACAATAGAAAACGCTTATTTCTAACTTTAAGTTTAATAACCGAAAGTAAATAGTTTTAATTAGATGTTTCATTAACCGTGGTCTGTTCAGCTTTAATTGAAGAGAAAGAACATTTATTCAGTACGGACTATTATTACACAGATGACAACTTCTGGAAGTGCAGCAAAAGCATGTGTTTCAGTTTTAAGCCAAACAGTAGGTTTCTCACAAACACGTGGAAGCGTATCTGAAGATGGTGACAATAAGATTAAATTATCAGTATTTGCTTCATAAACAAGCACTTGATCATAATTTTTGCATTAAATTTACGCAAACAGACACAAAAAAGTGTCGCTTCTAATTTCTTTTTCTTTTATTAATTCCGCTACGTTTTCGCCAAATTTATATAAAGAGCAATTATAATTCACAACACATTAACAAAAATATGTAAATGAATGCAACATAAAATTTAATATATTAATTTACAAAATAATTTCTCCCTTCTTTCCGCTTGTCATCATGGTGTAATTGAAAGAATATTCGACGCATATTCGTGAGGTCCAGGGTTCGAGTCCCGGCTAGGGCATTGCTCATTTTTCATGTCTACTGCTTCAAAATAATCTAATCTTTCTACAAGTGGACGCCCGAACTAAAAGGTTGTGAACGATAATGCGTCAATACCAGAGTTGGCGATTGGGTCCCCTAATCCCCACTCACCTTTTAAAAAGGGGAGTATATAAGATATTTTTCCCTTCTTTCCACATGCCTTCGAGGTGTAATTGGAAGCACACTTGACGCGTATTTGAGAGGTCCAAGGTTCAAGTCCTGGAGGGGACCTCACTCATTTTCCATGTTCCTGCCTCAAAACATGTAATGTCTCTACAAATTAAACTTGCTAATGTGTACAACATAAAATTTAATACATTAAAAAACTAAGGAGTTTTTGAAAAATAAAGATATTAGTGAAGATATTTTGCTTGTTTTTTATGTTCTTGCTCTAAATTAAAGAAAGACAGTAATTTGAGATAAATATACTTTAAATGTTCAATATTTATTTTCATTAACTCAAAATATTTGTAGCAATATGTATTAGACCGTTATTTCTCTCGCAGATGGTAGACCCTATTATAATATTTCATTCTTTGTAAATAGCATTATAATTTGCATATTCTTACGTATATAGGAATATTGTAACCCTTTCACTCCCTATGTTTAATACTGAAATCATCTATTCAAAATTCTTTGGAAAGTAAGCCAATAATTTTCTTGAGCAGCCACATGCATAAATACTTATGTTGCTATGGACGCCATCTTTTGGCGAACAGTGAAAATTTCAGGATAAAATGCAGCGTTTCATCAATTTTGTCATTTTCTTGTGGTGATACCACTTTTACAGTGCTATAATCTTTCTTTTTTAGTTTGTGCAATAATTTTTCAGTATCGCTTGTGCAATTATTGGTAAGTTATTTTCTCAACGTTGGTAGCTTCGTATATTGTGACATTTTGTTACCGTGAAAATTGCAAATTCGTGCGTCTTTTTGTCTATGAAGAGTGAAGGTCAATGTTTACGATTGAAAGATTTTCGAATTTCTATAGCGAGAAGACTGATTGCACTGCACAAACATGGACGGAAGAGATCAATACAATGTGCCAAAAAATATAAACGTTTTGTTTCATTTGAGATTCATTAACAAGAAGCAGCGCATGTGCCTATATGTAGCACATCTTTGCAATGTGGCTTATGCAGTGCAAAAGGTAAATCTCATCCCACAAAATAGCACATAGGGCACAGTTTGCAAAGTTAGACTCTAATCGAACGAGAACTGTTTTCTAACGTATGATCAAAAATCAATCAGATCTTATTGTCCTAGTGGTATTGTAGTGTGGCCACCATATGTTTTACAATAATTTTAAAAATTCAATAAAATTTTGTTTTTTATATTAACCATTAACAATATGTTAATCTTGTGACATGGAAGTCAACTCTTTTCTTGACTCTCTGACTAGACAAAAAGTTTTCAGATCTAACATTTTTAAAAATTAAAGTACTTTAAATAAGTCAATAGATTTCTGTTTATTTTTATCGAAATTTTAATTCTCTATATTCTAGAGTTAGGCGAAAACGTAGCAGAATTAATAAATGAAAATAAAAGCGACACTTTTTTATATTGAATTCTTTAACTTACTCATCGCACATTAATCACAATTTATATTTAATTCTTTAACTTACTCATCGCACACGTACAAGTAGAACTGAAACAGCATTGGTCAGCATTTCATACGGGTATAGTCGTTGCCGCCCTAACTATGCAGTTCGACTCCAATTTTGAGGAAGAACACTTCTAGGGGCGTTCCAAGCGTCTTCAGCACCTTTTTCTCTACCCGAAACCTCTCGATAGGACTTTTGGCTGGCTGCGCATTATAAATGTCCTCTTGCCACACAGAAACTATACGCTTACTAACATCCATGCCGTCTGTAGGATTCTAACACGAGCCCAGCAGAACTATCTAACAGAAAGTACTTATGCTTTATGTCTTGATACTTTATTCGGTAGCGTTCCCCACCAGTGTCTAAGTGGTTAAAACTTCTGAATACCTAGAGTTTGATTACAGGAGAACGGAAAGGCTGCATGGTTGGTTTTCGTGTTCCACCGCATGCAACGTGACTACGAGCCAGTTTCACTTAGAAAGCACTACATGAAGGTTTTCCTTTCCGTAAGCAGATAGCCCTCGTTAACTTCTCCATATTCCGTTACCCTAATATAACTTTTATATGGCTGGAAAGAATAAGTGAAAAGTAGTACAACACTATTTAGCACAACACTATTTTCCTAGTAGCATCCCTTCACGCTAGTAGCACAACACTATTTTCTAAATAATCGTGTGAGTGAGATTATTTGTACACCTCTGCAATTTTTAGCAACATTTATTGATCGTTACAAGCATGGCAAACTGCAATAAATTGCATTTATTAAACAGATTGTTGCTTTATTTTGGGTATTTCTTGCTATTTTCTAAAATTAGTTCGGCAGAAAACCGAAATTTTAATAATTGCAGTCTTTCATTTATCCCACATTTTATCACCTTTTGTACATTTTTTATGCAAACCGTTGCCTTCCCATATTACCAGAGAAAGCATTAAAGCTTGTGAAACTTTGCCTATATCGCTTCGCTTTCCAGACAAGAATTTTAATTTCTTCACTTCGTCGCTAGAGGCGATGCAAATTTTTTTATTCGTTAAACGTCTTGTCGCTTTCTTACTATCAAACCTTGCTTTTGCAACTCTAAAAACTACTCCTCTTGGATTTTAGAAATAAACGAAATTTTCTTTAATAAGTATGTTGCTAAAGAAGAATGGAAGTTTGCAAAATTAACTGACATTCTTCAAGTCCTTCAAATTTTCTTTTCCCGTTATAAATACTTATTCATCTACAGTACATACTCTAGAAATAGCTTAATCGATGATGCTGATATACGTACCCTTTATACCATTCCATGGATGGCATGACGAAAGGAAACCAGGGCATATAGGGTCTGGTGAAATCAAATGGGTTGAAAAACATAGGTACCCCTGCTCCAGCATAGGTGCCGAAGGGAAATCCTGCATATGCGAACCCACCAGCAAACCTGAAAAATAAAACCATAGATGAATATTTTATGCTTTCCAACTCAATGACACATCATGAAACAAAGAATAATATGTTAGTTGTAGTTTCTACTGGTTAATCCTTTCATTTTAGAATTTATAATGTACATGAAAGAGTAAATCTGGTTATCTGAGGTCCTTTATTTATATAAAGATCAATGAGCAGTCAATGGTATATTATTCATTATGTTCGACAACTGTTTCTGTCCTTTTAATGGGGTTTGCAATTGCTCATTCGCCGAAGAACTTAGCTTTATCAGAGAAAAGCTAAACAAGATGCTGATTTATGGGCTTTATCTAAATTGAATGCTGTACCCCGAAAAAAATTTAAGAAATCAAAACAAGTTAAAATCTGAAGGCCTGAGATCAGGCGCATATGATATGCGTGGAACACTTTCAACCAAACTCCAATAACTTTTGCCAGGTGATCAAAAGTGTGTGTGATCTCGCGTTATCAGGATGGAATGCAGTTCCTATACGATTAATGAGTATTGGAAGTTTCTGGAAGGTGGATTTGTTGAAGCTGTCCTGTTGGCGATACGAGGTCCATTCAAACCGATTTGTTGGCTCGTTGGTAGGAGCTTGGAAAATGGTTGGAGTGAAATTCTCGGCTACGTCTGTCTTTAAGTGCCATCTTTCTAACTACGCAGTAAAGGATCTACAAGTTATTGTAAAGCAGAAAACAATCGCCAGTCCTTTGCAGTTTTCTTTAAGTCATTCCATTAAATATATATATATATATATATATATATATATATATATAATGTACCAGCTTTTGTCCGGAATAAATAGATTCGTGAAGAATCATAGATGTAATTGTAGCTAAAAAGTATCAAACGATAAGTTTAAAAAACAGGATCCATTTATTATTATTCAGGAGAAATAGCAATTACAAAAATCTGATCTCCGGAGTAAATAAAAAAGAATTACTAATAACTTTTTGTATGAAGTTTACTGCATTGTTACATTAAAGAAAAGACCCCGATATTCCTTTGCGAGTCCTTTTATAGCCTCTGGAAAGGCAAAGCTTCCAAGAAATGACGTCAGTCTCGTCAGCCATTTCAGTTCCTTTTAAATATCTCTAGAACATTCTATAACTGTACGTGTAGAAAAGTCGGGAAAAACAACTTGACTACGGGGCTGTGGATTGAATTCCACGTACTTTCAAATAAGAGACCATCGCCATTAAAAATGAAAAGAACATATAGTTAGAATTTTAAGTGTATTTATGACTATGGAATTTTATTATTACAATATATATATATATGATTGTATTTTTTTGGTTTTGAATAAATTTTAATGTCTTAAATGATAATTTAATTGAATCTTTTTTCGGTTTTTGATCTCAAATCAACCAGATGAACGAAACATGTATTCGAAACACATTAATCGACTCTTATGAAACTTTAATTCATTTTCAACTGATGAGTTCTGAATTAAAGTTTCAGTAAAATTAGATTAATTTTAATATTTTAATAATTTTGCATATTTTTTCCTTTTCGCATTTTTATTTTTCGAGTTTGTTCTACTAATGAATTCTTAATTTAATTTTGATATGGTTAGAAACAGTCAGAGCCAGATTTAGACTTGATAAGCTATTTGAGATACGGGGCCTTTATAAGTTATTATAAGGTCTGTTATAATATATTTTAATACTATTTATACTATATTTTACTCTTTTGGGGGGTCTAAGCTATAGCTTGTGTAGCTTATACGTAAATCCGGCTCTGGATACAGTATTAAAAATTCTTATCCACGGTTGCAATTATTAATATTGTTGAGGAATTGCTTTGCATTGATTCCAATTTAATTTTAACTTTAGATGCTTCAAGTTTAATTTACTTCAATCCTGCAGCTATAGCGCAAGTATGGTTAAAAATTTTTGTTTTTAATTTTTGGCCTATTACTATGTTTCTTTTTGATCATATATATATATATATATATATATATAATATGTTTTCTTGTTGTCACTATTTTGTGTTTTTGTATTATAGCGCAATTTTCCCCGTGTGTTTTGTTTGATATGCTATTGAATTGACATTTGCAAGTTCATATTTTTAGTATTCGCGAGCTAGTTAAAAACATTTTTTGTAAGTAAATTAGTTTGTAGTTATTTCATAGCTGAGGATTCCGGAAAAGCGTGTAGATAAAGTTTCTGATTTTTGAAGGCACCCTTAATTAAAATACACCCCACTTAAAATTCAATATCAGGGTAGTTTTTAACTTTCATTGTGTTTCAACTTTTAGGCATTCACTTTCACAATTTGGTTTTTGAAGAATTTTAACTCAAGGCTTATTCATCAATATTTATTTCTCTCATAAATTATATTTTACTTGCTACAGCTACATTTTTCTAATTTTAATATATTTAAAAACATGCCCTGTTGAATGATGATTTATTTGCTTAAACTTTATGCATAAAAAAGATATACATGTTAAGAAACAAAATATTTATGCATTTACGAGTAAAATTCATGGAAATGGATATTATCGTCAAAAATAAAAGAATCAGTTACAGACTTAGTGAAGATTGGACAAAATGAAGCTCTTATTTTACAGCTCTTTACTAAATATATTTTTTATGTTTTGAATTTAAGCTGACAGTGAGTTTGCAAAAAGGATAAAACAAATAGTTTTCTTATCCCGAATATCTCAAGCAAAGTTCTGGAACGTTCTAATTCATAAAATAATCTTAATGCGTATTTCACTGTCAATAAAACGTTCGACTTTTTTAAATCTTCTCCATCCATAGTACTTAGGTTACTTTCACAGATATCTCCTCGTTATTTTAATAAATTATTAGACTATTATTGTTGGAGTAGACAAATTCTTAAGGAATTAAGCTTCTTATGAGGATAAGCTCTGTGAGATGTTCTATTTATAAAACATACCCTTCGAAACTGATTAATGGATTTATGCTTTATATTAAATGTAAAAATGCAAAATTCCCATGCACAAGATGTTTTAATGTGAAAGTTTCAAGATTTTCTTTAAAAGGAATTGTTTTAAATTTTTTAAGTATAAAAATATTTCCAAGAACATTTATGTATTCAAAATGGAATGATATTTTGTAAATTATAATCTGCGAAATGAAATATTTCGATATTTAAATCAAAATTATTAAATTTTACATAAATAAAAAAAAATAAAACCTTTAAATCTTGATGCGCTAGTCATAATACGTTCTTCATATACGAGACATATATTCATATAAGAGACATATATTCTTTAGACAAATATAAAATGCATTTTAAACAGCCGCATAACACATTTTGCTTTTTAATTGCCTTTCTGTTGTACCAACAAAGGATATAAAGATACAGGTTTCATCATTAACATGGATAAATATATTTATATGTTTTCCATGGTTCTTATCCATTGTTAGACTTTGAAATAGTTCATAGGTGGAAATTACCTATCTAAGTTATTTTTGCTTCAGATATTATTCAAGACAAAAGAGAAATAATACACAATAAAAAATACTGAACTCTTTCTTTTTTTTCACACGAAAATTAATCATGTGGATATTTATTAAAGAATTGACTTTTTCGGTGTGTTTTAAATTATACAGACATACGGATGTGCGAAGTACTTGGAAAAAGTGATTAATTTCTTCGGCATTTATTCTAGACTTGTACTTTCAGTTACGACTGTTAGGTAGAAAACATTTCATAAATTTTAAAATTAGGTAGAAAGCTAAAGTAAAGTAGATAAATTTATGAAAACAATCTCAGCGTTGTAAATATGCTGACTTTCTTAAAAATGCATTAAACGTAACAGTAACTTAAATGCATATTAAGTTTCCTTTATTAAGTGGAAACTAGCCTTAGGCTAAGAAAACTTTAATGACAAATAGTAAAATAATTACAATTTATCTGTTATTGAAAAATTATATTTTGAAAAATGCGCAATCTGTAAATTTTTTATCGCGTTACTTTTATTTTTATAGCGGCATGTTTTCTCCAAAATAAATTCATTTTTCATTTGAGCGCTTTAATAAAAAAGGTTTCCCGCTTCTCGTCATCAATTTCTGCATAACAGGCTACGAATGACCGCTAACCTTTTGCAAATTGCAAAAACGAGCAAAATTATTTTATTTAAAGATTGCAAATTGTACAAATAAAAGACTCTGATGCTAACACTTGCAATTAAATATACTTTCTAACCGGTTCCTTATTTTTTAGACACAAATTTAGTTCAACTTAACAATAAAAAATATCTAAGTTTCATCTAACACAAAATATTTCATAAAATACATTGGAATAAAATAAATAAACAATAAGCATAATTAATATAAAATTTAGATAATTTATGAAAACACTCACGGAACACAAAAAAGCGATCGCCAATCTAGGGCTGCTGTTTCCAGTCGGTTAGACTAACCGTAAAAATGTGACTAACTTAATATGACCTTAAATTTCTAAGAAAAAAATTACATTTACTTATTTATTAAATGGTAAACACAAAAAGGTTATTAAAATTTTAAATACTATGAGTTCTCTTTTTATTAGTTTTATGAGCATGCTTATAAAAAATAAAAAGGAGATTCAGCTCAACTTATAAGCATATTTCGAGTGAAAAACTTTTAAGAAATATCATAGTTATGACAGGATTCACAAGCAGACAGTTGCTTTCTTTACTTAGAAACATATTTCGAGAATTAAAAGAACATAATTAAGTCCTTTAAGTTCCTTAATTATGTTCTTTTAATTTTCTCCACCTTTACTTTCCTAATTTCTGCTATGCCGTAATTGATATGTTTGTTTATTTTCGTTTAATGAACTAAAAACCTTCGAAACTGTACAGCAGCTTCGAAGAAAGAAGTAATGGAATTCAGATTTGGATAAAGGCAAAAGAAAAACTAGTTTATAAGACAAGCTAAATGAAATTTTTCTACATTAAAAACGAATTTTTCTGTTTATTGGATCTGAAATCAAAATTTTAGTGTAAATCAATCTTCTGAAATACCTGATTATTTCTTTTACGATAATTTACATCCAATGTGATTATTATATTATTCCGTATATATTATTTTAATGCATTTCTCCGAATTTTATACAATGATTTATATAGTGCCAGATTAATAGAATATGTATACACTAATTTTTTATTTATAACTTTATGGATAATTAAACTATTAAATAATTATTAATTACAATTAAACATAAAAACACAAATAGACACTATTTTTAACTGCTACTACAAAAAATAAATTTAAAATTTATTTGCAATGATTTCTATACACACTTTTATTTTATTAATTTCTAGAAATACTAGAAGAGTTCTTATTTGAGAATTACAGTTGCAGTTAAAGACCTAACGAATCATTTGCGGAGGAAAAATTATTAAACGCTCTTCAATTAATTTCGAAAACATCTGATGCAAGCAATTAAAACTGGAAAATTGCTTTTAGTTGTTAAAGGGCTAAACTATAAAAAGCCTAATTGTACTTTTTAATGAAATCTATTAATTAGTGAATCACGGATAGTCGTTAAACTATTTCTCAAACAATAATTTCGTTCTACGAAAAGAAAGCATTATAACAAAGCAATAATATTTTGGAAGATTTATCACTGCAATAAAAAAAAATCTGTAATTCATGTGAGAAACGAATTTGCAACAGAAAATATGTAAATATTACTATCAAATTTCTAAACTCGTATCAAATCTGTACTTTATTTATTAACCCAATTAACCCTTTTCATAACCATATTTTAGCATATCGTACACTTTTGTAACCAAATGCATTCTGAGAAAAAGCAAATAATAAATAATTTACTTTATAATTTAACTCTATTTGGTTGCAATCAACAACAATATCTGCCATAAGGGCTTAGAATCTTTATAACAAGATTTAAAGAATCTAATATCAAACCTTTTGCGATAAACTTGCACTGTAACTATCAACAGTTTAAAAAGGAAAACAATAACAAAGTTTTTAAAAATGTTCATAAAAAACATGCGCCAGAAGTTAATTTTAAACAAATTTAAATTCTTAACAAATGCGTATAAAAGTAAAAAAAAAATTAAATTCTAAAAAAAGGAAAAAAGCCAAAATAATTTTAAATAATTTTAAAAAATGTGCAATCCTTGCAGCAATGGCGCAAAGAATATTTAATTAAATATGTATTTAAATTTAATTTTTTAATTAAATTCAATTTATTCTTATGCACCAGAAGTTATGTGTTTTAAAAAAAAAGTATTTTTATCAATTGATATAAAACATATGCCACTTACGGGTCAAAGCCTCTGTCTTGGCGACTTGTTGGCAAGGTTGAGGCAACACTTACGAGAACAGCAATAACACTGAGAGACAACATCCCTCCAAAATTTTTAGTTTTGACAGATTTCAGAGCGCAATGTACGAACGGAGCGAGACACTGACTAATACTGACTGTCGTATAGATAAATCGCCGGCATTTTATAACCGCGCCGTTTGCGAGATTTCGAAGAAAAACTCGCCAAAACGGCAGCAGAGAGTTTCGCAATGCTATTGCCACTATTCGACGCAAAAATGCGGCGCATGGAAATTAGCTGTAAGAAGAAAAGCGATGAACTAATACCGGCCACATAATATAGTTTCACGAAAACGCATAAAAAGTGCATGAAATTTTGAACATAAATTTACCGGACATTCATAAAACTCTTATTCGCAAAGTTTTTGGAAATAATTCCCGCACTTTTGTAAACTTATGTTTACTGTTTAAAAAGCTTGCAGATATAATGCAACAAAAATAACTGAATATTTTAGTAAGTTTTCGAATGATTATACAACACAGAGGAAAGAGTTTAAAATGTTTTTATTAAAACGATTATTGGTGATTTTACACTAATGATAATATTTACTAACAATTTTATATGTTTTAAAATGTTAGAATTCTGATTTTCCGAATTTATTCCAACTAAATTATGTTTTCTGTTTAAGTATTGTTTTTATTGCGAAAAGCAAACGATATTTTTTATCTTCTCGGAATAAGAAAAAAGTTAAACATTATTTATTTTCTATACTCCTCCAAAGTGTTTATAAAAGCACATCTAAATATGATAAGTACAGAGTACGCATGAAAGGGGAGTGGAAAACGGTCCCATGGTAACATGAAACTTGAAATTTATATAAACATATATGGCAACATAATACAGATTATAAATATTAGCTAAGGATGTGGACAAAACTGTGGAAGAAAGCAAATTCTGTTGGTGACTAAATTGTACACAACTGAGAGCTTATATGTCAGTTAAGAATAAAAAAGTGTCAAAAGTAAAAAACTTTAACAAATTTTAATCTCTTTTCCAACAATTATGAGCATTTAGCTTTAAATTTTTTAGTTATTTTTAATCAGTAATTAATCCTTTTTCTTCAACTAAAATGAGGCTTCGTCCTTTGGAAAAGATTTTTGTCTTTAGGTGTATAAATTTTTGGAAAACTACAATTGATGGATTCCTAATATTAAATGCCATAATAAGATTTATGAAGTGTAAGGAAAGAAATTCTTCTGAATATATTTTTATCACTTGTTAAAGATTAAGACTGCTTGAAAATTCCCTAATATCAGCAGTTAATGCTTTGAAAAAAGGAAACGGAACTCTAAAAGCATCAGAATTTGTTACAGAGTTCCAAAAATTTTTACGTGGTGTCTGATGAAAGAGAAATATGCTCTATCAGAAGAAACTGCAATTACAGTATGGTAGTTAGCTTTAGAATTACTACTATTTTCCAAAATTCCTGAGCTTAAGTTTTCCATAGATTTTATGAAAAAAGATATAACATTTTTAAATTTAAATTTATTTAATTTACAGTTACCACTGAGTGTTTTGCAACTAAAATTTGTGCACAGCTTTATGATCCATGTTTGCCAGAGCTAAGCAAAAAGGAAATATACAGTGGATGGACAAAAATATGGAAACACCTTGTGAAATGCATGTTTGAAAAGAAAGATTGATTTTAATGAAATATGTAGGTGGCGCTGGCGTTTTTGACTACTGACGCCACCTATCCAACTTCGTAAATGTGCTAAACAGTTCAGTTGTTGTCGGAGTACTCTTATGTGAGGTTGTCATTGCATTATGTCAGAGTTAACAGACTTCGAACGTGGGCAAACTGTTGGAGCACGTATGGTAGGTGCTTCCGTAAGCAAGGTAGCCGAGGTGTTTAGTGTTTCAAGAGGTACTGTATCGAAGATTTATTCCGCATATTTAAAAAGCGGAAAAACATCATCTGCTAAATCAGAGCGCGGACGAAAGTGTGTCCTGAGTGATCGTGACAGACGATCATTAAGGGCAATTGTGACGAAAAATAAGAAGACCACAGCTGCAAAAGTTACTGCTGAAATGAATGTTGTGTTACCGAACCCTATGAGTACCAAAACAATTAGAAGGGAGTTTCATAAACAGGGAATTGCTGGCCGTGCTGCAATTGAGAAGCCACTCATCAGTGATGCTAATGCTCGTAACAGGAAAAGGTGGTGTTTAAGTCATAAAGCCTGGACTATAGAGCAGTGGAAGCAATTAATAGGGTCTGACGAGTCTTCTTTCACATTGTTTCCCACTTCTGGACGAGTTTACGTTTGGAGAACGCCATCTTAAGCCTATAATACAGACTGCTTGTTGCTAAAAGTGAAACATGGCGTGGGTTCTGTTATGGTTTGGGCAGCCATATCGTGGTTCTCTGCTAGCCCCATGATAACTGTGTCAGGCCACATGACTGCCAAGACTTACGTGAACATTTTGGCCGATCAAGTTCATCCCATGGTACAAACTTTGTTCCCCGATGGTGATGGTGTCTTCCAAAACGACGACAAAGCCCCTGTTCACGCAGCTCACATTGTCCAGGACTGGTTTTCTGAGCACGAGAATGAGTTGTTCCATCTCCCCTGGCCACCACAGTCACCAGACCTGAATATTATCGAACCTTTGTGGTCTACATTGGAACGGAAAGAGCGTTCTCGTTATAGACCGCCAACATCGCTATCTGAACTTGCCACCGTTTTGCAGGAAGAATGGTATAATATTCCCTTGGCAAACATACAGGAACTGTATTTATCCATTCCGAGAAGACTGCAAGCTGTTTTGGATGCCAACGGGTTTCCTACACCATATTAAGCAAAGAAACATGTTTTTTTAAAGGTGTTTCCATATTTTTGTCCAACCCCTGTATTTTCCCATGGGAAATCTGCAAATGCTTACATCTGTAAAAAATGAATTTTTTGTAACATATTTTTATTTGTTTTGCACTACAAGGAAAATATTCATAATTTCCGTAAACAATTTTAAAATTCTATCTCTGTCATTTTTCCTAGATTGCAAACTTCATATTTAAAATGTCCACCAGTAACCGAGCAGTAAAGTTTCTGAACTTAGTTAGTTCGACCGGGGTTCAAATCTCGGTAGACGGATTGACTGTATGGGGTTTCGTAGTTTTCCCTAAGGGCCGCCCTGACGGTGTAGTGGTTAGGACAGCCGACTGTAATACCCAAGGGCTCGGGTTCGAATCCCGGAGAAGGTATGGATGTAAATTGTCTGTCCTCTCATAGAAGGTAACGGTGGCTGCTTATTAGATGTATCCATAATAAAATGACCACCACTTTTGTCATTGGGGGGGGGGGGGGGGGTAGTGGCAAAAGCCTAAAAATCACTAGTGCCCGCCATAAAAAGAAGTTAAAAAGTTTCTCTTAGCAAAGAAATTCCTCCTTTTAGACAGATAACCCTTGTGTGCTTTGCCGTAATAAACCAAATGAAATGAACGAAACTATATTTAAATATGAACTATTCCATACCCAGTACACGAGAAACTGATTTGCAAATTGGTATCATTTATGTTAGTTATCATCATAAATGGACTCTAAGTTTCCAATCAATACGACCCTAGAGTCAAATTATATCTAATGCAATGATAATTATATAGGTTTAACAGCTTGTTTTGTAAATAAATACCTTCCTTTACTTAAAATATTTGAAAAGCATATTTGAAATCTATGTTAAAATTTAAACTTATTTCTACAGCTTTGCAAAGTTTAAACTAGTTATGTTGCTAAAAATGTCTTTGCAGTATTAAGATTCTTACGTTGCACAAAAAATTAGCTTAGGAAATCCAATTAATAAAATTTATTTAATATTAAATAAAGCAGGAAACTATTACTTAACTCCGACTTGGTTAATTATCGATCTCTTTTAATTATCCTGTAATGAAGACGATGCACATCACTTGTTTAAGTACTTATCCCTTCATTATTTTGCGATAATTAATCCATTATGCCATTATGTTGACGGCATAATTTCTCAAACTTTTTATATATAAACCAGAACAGCATTCTGTTTTCAGACAAAACTAGCGAGAAGCCGTACACACATAAATCCTTTTAGAACCTAGTTGCATACAACTTCCATTCAAATGGTAACACATTACGTATATCACATGTCAGAAAACTAACATTTTCCTCTGGAAATTTTCCTAGGCTATCTTCTTTACAGCATCTTTATCGAAACGCTGTGCATGCTATATTTAAATTATCTATGCCTGTTTAAATTAAATAATATTTTAAAAGTTTCTAGCTTTACAAACTACCAGTTCTCAGTTTATTTCGATTCATCTGGAAATTGTCGATTATTGCACACTTATCATTCAATTGATTCAAATGTTATGAACATTTTCTGTAGTAACTCTGAAAATACAAACAGTTCGGTGTTTATTCATCAAAAATGCAGGCCTTTCGGTGTTCCTTTTTTTTAGCCCAAAGCGGCAATTTGCCCCAAAGGGCTATTAATTTCGTTTTTGCATTTTGCGTTGGTTCACTATAAAAAGCGTTTCATTTTTCAAGTTGTTGCCACCAAATATTAGAACCCTGCATTATATTTAAAGAAATTAAATAATGAAGAATCTGCGTGAATGTATGTATGTTTCTCGCATTGTGGGAAAACAACGGTACCTAGAGACACCAAATTTTGAATAACGTAGTCCATGGGCATCTGGAAGCCCAAATTAAGAATTTGGAATTTTTTTATTATGTGTTTCATATTCTGTAAATCTTTAACGAAATTTTGATTAAGAAACTCCACGATTTCAAAGCGAGCAGTGGTAACACTGCACGAAAAAAAAATTTCTTTTAATTTTTTTTTTTTTTTTTTTTTTTTTTTTTCCCCAGCGCGCAAGACTGTGTATTGGAAATCCTAAAGATATGCTCCTTTTAAAATTATTTTGTAATATTGCTGTTGAGTTGAATTTTATTGTTTAAGAGCGAAGAACGTGAAATTTAGTAAATAAATGTGACACACGAAATGTTAAAGAAGCACCGCTTTGGGCGTGATATAAAATCTGAAAGCCTTCAGATATATTTTTTTAATTTACACTTCCCAGAGCGCCATCTCATCAGAGAGCCTTATCAGAGCTTAATATATCAGCT